GACGCTCAAGAGTCTACTAATAAATACATTAAAAAGTTTCGAGAAGATTTTGCAAGAAAAGTTCCCGAGTGAAAACAGTGGAAGACATTATTTTACACCTATTATTAATATCCGATCCGTTTATTTCGAGTTTGTGCGAATTACCTCGAAAAAACTCAAAGTCGTTGCTTCCAGAAGCAGTTTTATTGTTAGTTGCGCCAAGTATACCAGCAAGTACAGGAAGCTCCAGCGATTTCAAAGTTGAATCATCTGATTGTGAATCAAATTATTCTTTGGATGACGATGCATGAACTTTTAATCAACTGATTGTATGTATTAAACAATATATGAATTTATTTTGTACTTTTTCTATAAAAGTGGTTCGTGTTAAATCCGTCATTTTGTTTTTATTTCAAATTTTGTCTACTTCGGATTCGTAATCAGCGATCCCGAAAACCCTCGAATACTGACTTTCAGCCAAATTGATAATGTTTTTGACTTTTGGCCAGCTTTTTGGGATTTCGTCCCACTGTGCGTCCCATTATGGGCCTATAATGGGCTGGGCTTGCTTAGTTCCCACAGAAAGAGCAAAAAAAAATTCAGTGTTGACTTCAGGCGTTTTCCTTCGGGAGAATGTTTTGGGGAAAATATTTTCTTATAAAAGGTTGGTTTGGAAACCCTGTTGGTGGGGGCCCCATACAACTGTCGATTTTGCCCACAGGATAACGCGCAACTGTTCTCACCATCTGGCCGACCCATTATGTAAGATAGCCGACCCGGTGGAGATAGGCGAATTGAAAACCCACTCCTCGGCACCTGTGTAAGATCACTTTTAGGTAGGATCAATTTATCCCGCGTCAGGATTAACCTCAGGGAAGGTTGTATCTGGGCTGTGACGGAGGAGGCAAATGATGACAAGCCGTTTATTTACACAAGCCGTTTATTTGTTAACATTTATGCTTACATCGACAATTGACAATTGAGGGGGAGAGGCGAGAACTTCGGTGTCGGTCGTAGCCCGGGGCGGATGAGATGAGATCGCTGGGTAAAACGGACGATCGTGAAATGGTGCGGCGGAGTTCTAAGTTGATGGCGACGACACAACTCAATACAGATCACGACTTTTTGCGGAATACAGAGGAGACTCTTCTTCGACCTTGAAATTCCGATTTTTATAGTTTTTCCCCCGCTAATCGCATTTCGGATTGGTCCCTCGTCCCTTTCCTCGCTTCCCGATTGGTCTCTCCTTTGTCTCCAGGTGCAAGACGAAACTTCTTCGGGTCTCGGGAAAGGTCCGATTCGAGGTGTCCATTTGATACCTCTTTGTCGACTCTTCCCGGTGATTGTTTATAAAACAATAACACCCGCACTCATAATCCAGGCCGTTGTTTATATAATATTTTTGATGTCTAAGAATTTAACAATCATTTTCATCTTTCATCTATCAAAAATTCCCCTTTTTTGTTCAAGAAGGTTTATCTCGGCCAACATTTTATAGAATCGCGAGTCAATGATCTACCTATTTATGAGCGTTGGGTGTTAGAGCTTGTCTTCCGCTAAGCCCTTGACAGATAGTTTGACATACAGTGGTACCTCAGGATACGAACGCCCCAGCATACGAAATTTTCAGAATACGACATGAAATTCGAACATATTTTTGCTTCACGATACGAACAAAAACTCACCATACGACGTTACATTAGTTCACATTTTTCATTTGTTTTCCTTACTACAGTTATTTTTTTAAATGTATTACTTGGCTTTAATTTGAGTATGTTTTTCGCGTTGGAACGAATTATTTGGTTTTACATGTAATCGTATGGGAAAAGTTGATTCACCTTACGACATTTTCATGATACGATCTCAGTTTCGGAACGGATTAATTTCGTATCCTGAGGTACCACTGTATACTCGAACAGTTCAGAGTCTCGTTGTTTACATCTGGCGTCGCGCAAGAATTTCGCGGTTTACGCGACTTCGAACCTTGTCTGGGAACCCACAAATGGGCCTGTCCGAATTTACGAGGTCGATTAAACAGGTATTCTCAGTGCTCAGAGGCTGTTCAAAAGAGTTTTTAAAAAATATTTTTTTAGCACTACAAATTAACAACTGTCAAAACTCAAGAATGACAACCAATAGAAATTAACAGTTCTGCTTGCAAATTTGCATAATCTAGCTTTTGAAAAATCAATTTAATTTGGGTAAGTATTCTCTTATCTTTTATTTTAAATGTCTGTATTTAAATATATGTATAAATTTATAATTCGATTTCATTTTATTAATTTTTTAAGTTAAAAAAATTGTTTTTATTAATTATTTGTTTAAATTTTTATTATAGCTGTTTCACAGTGAGGAATGCCTATTTTATGACTTGGGATATCTTAAAATGGAGAACTTGCGACTTCGAATAGACAGAGAGGAAGATGAATTATTTTTTCAACCGATTCGTTTAAGGTTTGTTACATTTATAAGCATTTAAATTTTTATGTATCTGATCTAGTTGACAAATTTATAACTTATTCTATTTATAAAATAGATTAAGTTGCAAATTTGACTAGTCGATAAGTTCGAAGTTATGGTTTTCTATAATTTAACTTGTAACTTAATCTATTTTAATAAATAGACTAAGTTACAAGTTAAATTATAGAAAGTATTTTATAAATAGTTTCTATAATTTAAACGTATTCTAAATATCCGAAACAGAAACTACTTAACGATTGAATATCTTTTATTAAATTCCGTTATTTATCAACAACGATAATAGAAAAGATAAGTGTGATATCTAACTATTAATATCTGTAATCGGTAATTTGTTGCAACAGCTGATTCATAGACGGGAAAATATATTTTCAAAGTAACTATGAAACGGCATAATGAGCAGCAGACATTGCTAAACTTTATCTCGTTCGGTATCACAACGGCAACATTTAGGATTGATAAACTATAACGTTCGTTTAAAATTCTGTTACAAAAGTAGGGTGACCAGAATAATTAAATGTAATAGTTTATAGCAATCAAAATAGCAGTATTTAAAAGGTCATAACTAAAATAACCAAATCATTACATTAAGGGATTTTACAACTATTTGTGATTAATTGATATACAGTATAAGAATTCAATACATCTCAGCAAAAATTTATTGTTTTATTCAAGAATTTGAAATCTCTTCCTCTAATTTATGATAAGAAAATATTTTACGCTCCAATTATATACAGTAGCTTAAAGTTTCCGATCTCCATTTTACTTTTCTGACTGCAGAACAGAAGAAAAGTATGACCGGTCAAAAAATGACCCCTTTCAACAATTTTATATTTTTAGATTCAAGGAAACTTGAAATGTCGAAAAATGAAAAAATTCGGTTTTGTTTTTTGTATGTATGGATGTTGGTGTGTTTGTGTATATGGTGGGTGCACGATTTTGTTCACCCACTTTGAAGCTTAATAAATCCTGTGCCTTTCTTCAAAACTTTCTGAAATTTTGAAGGAAGGTTTTTTATATAAGGGGCATTGATGCAGTTAAATTTTGATGGTTAAAGATCAAGTGGGTGAGGAGGGTCATGTGTCATATTTCGAGTGGGATCGAATTTAATGAAGATTTTACTTGTTATTAGCATTTACAACTTTTTTATAAAATTTATCCCTGTCCTCAAAATTAAGCTTTTCGCCATTTTATAATAATTAATAACAATAATAATGTTTTTTTGATAAAATATCGTAACAGATGGCGCCACACACAATTTTAAATTTTTTGTCAGAAATCTTACGTTGTTGGATTTTTATTTGTTTTGATCTCACTGTGTTTGTTCATTAATGGTAGGGCCATTAATGCCAATGTTGTTGTGCAATTTAGTGAACTCCATTCTACATTATAAATCCATATATAAGGTATATGTTATTAAAGTTTTATTAATTAAAAAACGATTTTATTTTAATCTAATTTCGGTTTACTTATTTTCTTAATCTACATTTCATATTAATTGTTTAAATATTTAGATAATTATTATTTAATCATTATTTGCTCTGTAGAAATATTATGATTAGTAGAAAGCTTTTTTTATACGAGTTATATATTCAATGTCTTCAATTCATCATAATTTTATTTTAATTTCTATGTCATTCACAGTTCTTTTTAATATTATTTATTTTATGCTTTATTTTTGTTTATTCTTATTTCTATTATTAATTGAAATTACAACCATTCAATTATACATATGGAAATTTAAATGTTCTACGTTCCAATATATTGCTACTGTACCTCATACTTCGAACACTACAGAGTTCGAACGCTACTTAGAAGACACACTTCAGTCACTTTTATTGCGGATTCCGGTTCCGATCAATTTTAGCTGTACAGATATGTATGTGGACGTCCATTTTTTTTTCGCGTTCACGAGATATTTTGGATATTGCCAGATCACCGTGCAACATACAATAACAGGTTTTCATAAGTGAGTAAAATATTAGCAATTAGGCTAATACTCTCCTAAGAGCACATGATCAGTAAGTTTCATAAATTCGCAATATGTAATTGTTAAATATTTGACCCCTTAAGTCCTTAGCCCGAGTTAATATAAAATTTTAATATAAGTAATAAATTTTTTATATCAATACAGTATTTAGAAATACGACATATTTAAACTCGTATTAAAAATGAAAATATTGTCTTCTATTTGCGTTTCATTCAATAACATTTTTTAAATAAGATTAGATAGTAGTTAAAGAACTTTGTAATTTATTACTGTACATAGAAATGTATGTATAATATGTTAAATGTGTGGTCATGCTTATTATTTCTGATGTATATCGTTAATTTATAACCTATTTTGTATACAAGTTAAACTTTGTATTATAATAAATATCAAATGTTAATTAAATTCTTATTCTCCTTAAATGTCGGATTTTTTAAATTAATATAGTAACCTGTAAAAAATATTCCTTATTAAATATTGTACGGTGATCTGAAGGATATTGTAGTATAGGCATATATTTTGTGCATAAATACATATTACTTTTTAAACGTCTAACGCTAGAAATATATATATGCAATACTTATCTAATCGTTTTCTACTTGTACGAGATATGTGTGCATATCTGCTTTTAACAGGTCGAAAGTATTGTTTTGCAGACTTTAATTTATTAAGAACATAACTATACATCCAGTGTTGAAAACTCGTTACTCTAAAATACGAAATCGTCATAACGTTTTATATGTAGTATTTTATTATGTATAGATCCACCCAACCTAGTGAAAATTCAAATCTGATGAATCAAGAACGCAAAGAGTAAGATAAATATACATTATTTCCTTTTTTTTAATTCTTGATTTAAAATTTTATTCGGAACATTTAATATATTTCACTGATACGTAGGCTTTCAGCTGATTTTTTTTCTTTGACGAATTTATTTATATTTTCACTAACTAAATAATGATGTAGGTCTTAAAATTAATAAGTTGGTTAATTAGTACTTTAGTACGCCAAATAATATACAGGTAATACTTAATTTAAACTTTATATCATTTGAATTTCATGAATACAAAATTTTCTTTCTAAAGTATCCTTATAACTTTAAGTTTCCTTCATTTACTGGCATTAGTACTGTATTGTTTTCTATTAAAACTAATAAAATCTCAGAAAAGTCTTATTAAAAAATAGGTGTATATAAAAAGTAAATCTTTCATAGTCCTTTTTATGCTTTACAATTTCGTTCCACAAATTTATGATTCATTAATATTAATTTATTCTCGAACTTAAAAGTTATTAATGATTTTTTGACTTCTTAATTAAACCGGTGATTCAGTCATAAAAACATCACTGAAACTGAAGACAGGAACTGAAAACAGCAAATTTTTCGGTTTACGTCGACTAAAAAGATGCTGAAAAAAGAGTTGAGAATAGTTTTATACTTTTTAGCGCCGCGTAGCGTTTCCGTTTCACGGTAATCAGTGACAGCAGATTAATATGCCATTAGGTTAAGTCAGTTCCAACTTCCAGTGGAAAATATTTAAAATGACGGAAGAAAGTAAATTAGTGTCGCGCTTTCTATTAGAGGCATTTGTAGAAGAAAATATTATTGCTTATATAATAAATATTCCGTTATTTATCAACAACGATAATAGAAAAGATAAGTGTGATATCTAACTATTAATATCTGTAATCGGTAATTTGTTGCAACAGCTGATTCATAGACGGGAAAATATATTTTCAAAGTAACTATGAAACGGCATAATGAGCAGCAGACATTGCTAAANCTCTATTTTAGTAGTGTCTTGCCCCTGTACATCATACTTTTCCTGCTAGCAATGGAGTCGTGCCGGTAATCTATCTAACTCCTTTCAAGAGAAATTTTTGAATTGAAAATTGCAATCCAATTAAAAAATGTAATTATTTTAAAGCAAATTAAATGCTAGTTTCTTTTTAAATGCTTTCAGCCAATTGCAGAAATGAGGTCTAAGCCACAGCTATGGCTTACATATGTATATGTATAGGTAATGCCAAGAATGAAGATAAATGATGATGTACGATAACACATTTTACCCGGCAGCATTGAGTAAAGCAAAAAATAAAAAATAAAAAAATACAGAAAAACATGAAAAATACGTGAAAGCGCAGCTAGTGAATGGCTCCTACACACCTGGAAAGTCAGGGATTTTCGTTAGTGTTCGGGGAAAGTCAGGAAATTTGCTTTCTTGGCTCCCTTGTTGATATTTTTGCTTGATAAAAATGTAGGCGTATGCAGGCAGCAAGAAGTAATATAGTGCAATAGAACTTATGAAAATGTATGCAGAATATTTTCAGGACCCAAGATTTCTCCCAAACATATAAAAAATTTCCCCAAAAATTTACAAGTTACAAAAAATGATAATGTTTTAAATTTAAAATTATTTTATTATTTATCATTTTTTATTTCAATAATTTTGGTTGCGTAACAAAACAAATTTTGAATAATTTTTTCCTAGTTTATTAATATTTTATAAAGTTCAGGAAATTTATTAAGGGATAAATTTAATAAACATATATTTTTATACATGGATTATATAGGATTTGTTAATGAATGAAAAATAAATAATAGCGCTTCCCCCTTTTTTAAAGCTATGTAGATATATGGTTGTGAATTAATAACATAACAAACTACTTTAATTTTTTGTTTTAATAATTTGGCAATTATAAAAATATATAACTGCTAATTAGAAAAAAATAACCAATTTAAAAAGTTGAAGATCATGAAGCTGTACTAATAATAAATTAAAAGTTGAAAACAAAAAATAAAACATGTAAATGTACAATAAAATGAAAATTGCATTTACTGGTCGCACACCGTCGACTTTGGCATCCGGACATGGCCGCCAGATGTACTGCTTTCATGTTTTGTGATAAATCCCTTTTTAAATTTCCATTGTCAATACTACAACTTTCATTTTAGACTTTGTTGTTTCAATACCCTTTTCGGATTTCA